CCCCCCCCCCCGAGGGACGCCACAACAGCCAAGTGGAGGCGCTGCTCGAAGGACTTCATAACAGGGCCGTGCGAACGTCGCTGGACATCAGCCGACTCGCATACAAGGTGGGAAGATCCAACACATGGGCACGCCGGAGCGAGCAGACGGCTCGGCGGATAGCGACGAAACAGGGCACAGCGGGCCAGCCGGACACCCCACGAGCACCCAGCGACATGGACCCATCCGTCCCCCCACACCCGCATGAGTGTCTGCCGAGGAAAGCCGCGAGGCCAGCCGCCACAAGTGGCAGGATCCCGACAGGAGACAATGTCCAAAAAGGCCGATCCGCAATACACGCCCGCACAGAGACAATCCCTGGGGACCTCCCAGCCCGGAAGCCCCACGCCGCTCGAATCACGCTCCGCCGACCAGTGCTGCAGCGCACCGGCAGAAAGATAGTCCAAAGGGAATGGACGCCTCCACCCTCACCCCCAGCTGACACAGGAGACGGCTGGGTGACGCCTCCGTTCGACGGTCCTGCCTCGGACGGCTGGATATCGCCGCCGTCATCACTGGGGGACCCCATGGAAACGGACGAGCCCCAGGGGACCCAGCCAGGGTTGACCCGTGAGAAGCAGGAGAGGATCGAACGCAACAGGGCCGAGGCGGAAGAGCGAAAGAAGAGGAAACGAGAGGAAGAACTGCGGGAGAAGATTGCGCAAGGCAGAGCCGCAGCCGCAGAGAGGAAGAAGAGGAAACAGGAGGAACGGAGGAAGGCCCAGGAGGAGGGACGGACCCTGCCCCCAGTGGCACCCCAGCCACCCCCACGACAGCCCTCCACACGGGAGGCGGCCCTCAACCAGCGGGCCATCAACCAGGCCATACATTGCTCAGAGCGCCCTAAGCGCCCAAGCGTCGTGCTCCCTCCGCCAGCGGGGGATGACCGAATGGATGAATAGCTGCAGTAGGCGCGGATAGCATGGACCAGCATTGATGCGGCAAGGACAGTGCTGCCCTAGATATATGGACAGGTGCTTGTTGCCATAGATGCCCTGAGGCATGAAATCGCCAGGGATGATGAATTGACGATGAAAGACGGGGTTGAAGGGAGAACGTAAACGGCTACTATAACGGTTCTGATCGCGCCAGGGAGGGTTAGCCCATTGTAAGGCAGATCGAGGGCAACGCGTTGTTTGAGAAGGCCTGCTACACCCCTCGGAGCCGAGAGTCCCACATGGCCGAGCCAGAAACCACGAAAAAACTGCGATAGGTATGCGACCACCCCCCCTGCACGCACACAGCCCAAAACATATGCACGTGCCCCCCCTTGTTGCCCCACAACCTCTCAGGCAAGAGATGTTGCTGCGCGGCACCGGCGAGACCGACCGGTGCCACCGGTCGGACCTTCCCCTCGGGTTAGTACAGCGCCACGTGCTGCATGAGACCACCATCGGACGGGAGAAGCTCGGCCGCACCCACACATACTGCAGCTACGGCCCCTCATACCACACCATTACCGAGATCCCCGAGAACAAAGTCGCGATGTGCTCCACCGGCCTGTTCGAGCGGAAGCGACGGGGGAAGACCACCATCCTCACCGCACCACTCGTCGGCGAGCGTGTGCGGCCCAACCAGCCGCGCATAGATGGCGTGCTGGAGGACCAGACCACGCGTCTCGAGCTGCAGTGGACGCCTGAGTCCATCCAGACTGGATGGCACAAGAAGCTGACCAACCTGAGGATCTATGAAAGCCACGGGTACTCCAACGTAAGCCGACACCACTGCAAACAGACACGCACACGTAAATAACGCTCAGACCACGCCTATGGCCCACCCCCTCCTTTCCTTCCCTTCCCCGGACGCAGGTTGAGTTGCCGGCGACGAAGAGCACCATGGACCTCGTATACCATGGCAAGATCGCCCACGGCGGCGCTGAGGTGCAGGGCGACCAAGCGGTGGGGCTCGCCCACACCACCGTGCGCCTCACCGTCATCCCCATGGACCACATCACCGACCTAGACGACTTGATAGTGGTGACCATCGGCAGCATCGTCACCATCCGGGGGGGGCGAGATGCCGCCGCTACCACGGGAGGTGTGGACGCACCAGGACGCCCTGCAGATAGCCCTGGGGGCGGTGACGACGGTGTACGGCAGCCACGCATCGCTGCGCTTCCACGACTGGCGCGTCGCCGAGGGGATGGTGGTGGGGCAGGTGTTCGCCGTGCGAACCGACCATAGAGGGAACGAGGGGCCGGTGTCGTATAAGACGCCGGAGAAACGGGAGGAGATAGAGCGCTGGGGGCGGGTCACGACCGTGGTGTACAACTTCGTGACCGAGCAGGGCGGGAGTGAGCAGCGGGGGGCCCACATCACCTTCCAGCGGATCGCCATCTTCACGGCCTACGACACACGCCGGGACGAGCCGACGTCAGGGCTGACGGAGGAGCAGGAGCTCAACCCCCTCGCTCACATCGGCCTCATCCAAGGGAGGGCAACGACCATGAGCATCCACCCCGCCCCCACCACCGCCACCCAGACCGGCGCCGAGCCGACCAACAACACCAACACCAACCCCGCCCTCGCCACCGCCACCGAGACC